CAAGCAAAAATCAAATTTGTCATGGGCAATATCAATATAATACATGTACTGTTCTGTACTGTATTGTAAATTCCCTGAACTTTCAGATTGGGGATAAGGTAAGTCCATGCTTGATAGCTGCAAAGGTCCTTTAAATCTGATCACTGTACAGTATTGATTTCAGACTAATAACCAGGAAAATAAATGCAGTACTGTATACTGTACAGTAAATAAATAGTCAATAAATAAATGAATAAATAAATAAAAATTCTCTACCCTTGGGCCTGACGGCCTTTGCAACGATCACTGACTGAGGGGTCATGTTCATTTGCTAAGGTTGGTACAGTACTGTACTTCTGATTGTGTGGTGCATTGTGTAATCAATAGCTATGATGTATTCCGTATGGCCATCACATTTAGCTGTTACAGAGAAATTATGAGGAATACATATAAAACCTGCGTTGTTCCAAATTTTTGGTCCGGTGTGTCACATTGTATAACACCGTAAAGGTGATTTTTTTGGTGTGTGTACATGTACCTCTACTTGCAACATCATTCTTGATAGTTTTCTATTTTCACAATAACCTTACATTTGCCAGAAAAGTAGAGTACTGTATATTATATATACACTACTCTACTGTCGTACAGAACAGTACCTACGTACTGTACTTGTTACGGATGAAGCTTCCAATATTAGACCCCAACATAATAAATCTCTAAAACCTTGATGATGTCGCTAACTAAACAGACAGTTACAACACACTGCAGTGAAACCTGCATAATTATAACAGATTTCTCTCTCCATATAATCCGTTTGGTGGGGGTTTCACATTAACGGATCCTCTATATACAGTAACAGACATTCATCTCTATACCTGTGTATATCATTAGATGGAGGTTTCACATCTAACTGACCCTAATTAATGGACATTCCTCTTCATATAGCCCATTAAATAAAGGTTCCACTGTAGAAAGAAGTCATGTTAGGTAATAATGTTACAGAGCAGGATATGTCGCTATGTTACAGGTACAGTGTATTTGTATTACCAATACCGTAGGCCTATTCACTGACAATTGATATCAAAGAGTAACCAAGCAAGTGGTAACAATTTTGTAATTGTAATTGACAGAAGTTAATTATAAACCTTTTCATGTTTAATAATTGCCCAGTAATTGTTTGATTTTGAAAAAAAAAATTATTGTACAGTACAGTAATTGCAACTGCATTCAATTACTGTACTGTATGTTCAAAGTAACAATACAATTAATACAATATTAGTGAAAATGCAGGAGCTCAACAAGCATGTACTGTACAGTGTTTTATTAAACCTTGTTTGCCTGTATCACATATCTTAGGAGTCGGCGATGCGTACAGGGAGGGTGCATGGGCGCAGAAGAGCTAATTTTTCACATTGTTCACTGAAATTAAGCTAAAGGCAGTGCTAATTTTAGTTCAAGTGTTTGACAGCATAAGTCAGGCCACATTTGGCTCCGTTAATGCTTTTTCTCCATCCCGTTGGGACATGTGATACACCTCCTTACTGTTGGTACGACCTAGGTGCATCCTCTTATGCTTTATGACACTGAATCTTAACAACCATTCCTTTAACCACCCCCTCGATAACTTGGCATCGTCCACAAACATTTGTATGGAGGAGTGTATAGCAACTTCTGGGCTGTCATTTATGAAATGATCAACAATGGGCCCAGTACAGTACACTGCCCTGTGGTACCCTACTTGTAGCTACATACCCTCCATTTTCATTAATTTTACATTTTCATTTATTCATATTTATATACATGCTCACATCACATTTCAAAGACTCCCTCAAGGTGAGGAACGAGATGCAAGAATGAAACAAGCATTCCCTCTCTAGATCGCTATGTAGAGATGCTGAAACAAGAAGCTCAATGCTCTCGAGCCTCTATTGGTTTTAATAAGCCGGGAACCCAGCTCATTCAGGAACTTCAGGGCCTTGGTACCCGTCTCAACAAGTCTCTGGTCCCAACAGGACATGATATTCGCGGCTCAGGTTCCTTCATGTACGTACTGGGCCTCCTGGTTTTCCTTCGGGCTTGCTACTCAGTATACGGTACCTGGTGTATATACTGTACTTGTATATACCATATTGTACAGTTCAGTATACACATACATATACAGTATGTTGTACAGTATACACATACACAGTATTTTGGTTATACAGTACAGTATATAAATTCCGGTATTGCACAAGGACAGGGGACAGAATTCAAAGTTGAAACAACTACAGTATCATAAATTGCAATTTTTTTAATATTTGATTAATCAGACTACAAATAGCTTTCGAGTGCATATACATACGCCGAGTGGTAACTTACACTTCAACCAGGGTACACCATTCAACAGTTCACAAAGGAGGTCAGCAAAACAAGACGCCACTAAGTCAACAGAAGAAAGGGTTAACATCACAAGCCACCTCTTACTCAAGATTAACTAAGGTGTCAACAACACAAGCCACCACTTTGTCAACCTAAATCAGTGTATCAACAAAACAATTTATATTCACTGTGCAATATTCCCATTTATGGAAATCGAGTGAATAAAAGGGTGCAGGCAATGGCATTGTACTTTAGTCTTCTCATTCCTTCATTCTGCAATGGCATCGTGTTTATGTGATTGCACGGGACTTTTATAGGACAACCATTAAATCCCTGTGCCCAGTACCATCAGCCTGTTTGTAATATGATCCTACATGATATTTACAACCATACGTTTCTCACTGGAAGCTTCTAAGTACCTACCGGTACTGGGATGGATATTATCACCACCCACCATGAAAACTTACCACCACCTACTATAGACACTATCACCCACCATGGCCACTATTACCACTTGACACGAACATTATTACCACCCACTACTGACACCACCATCTATCTGAACTTTATCAGTACTCATCATACTGTTCAAATTCCAAACACTAACACCCACCACAAACAGTAACACCCACCACAAACACCAACACCCACCACAAACACCAACACCCACCAAAACCACCTTCACCACTCACCGTGGCCATTGACAGCGTCGACATAATCATCCTCCATCAAGGACACCAACACCACCCTTCTTCTACCACCACAACCTACCTTAGCGCGACCACCTCTGACTAATTAATACGTGATGAAAAATCTGATATCCCAAACATAACTAACAGTGGTAATGTTTACAGTGGATGGTGAAATGATAAGGTTTATAGTGTAAGTAATCCTGATAGTGCTGGAAGTATTAAACATGGGTGACAGACTGAGTGACTGTCATAATGATAGCTGACTGTAAGGACCATGCTGGGCTGTGCAATATATAGTAGGTGGTGAAAGAGCATTTAATGAATGGTGAAACTAGTAATGGTAAATGGTGGCACTGGTAAATGGTTGTAGTGGTAGGTGGTGATAGTGGTGGTAATGGTAGGTGGTGATAGTGGTGGTAATGGTAGGTGGTGATAGTGGTGGTAATGGGAGGTGGTGGTAGTGATGGTAATGGAAGGTGGTGATATTGATGGTAATGGAAAGTGGTGATAGTGGTGGTAATGGTAGGTGGTGATAGTGGTGGTGATAGTGGTGGTAATGGGAGGTGGTGGTAGTGATGGTAATGGGAGGTGGTGATATTGATGGTAATGGAAAGTGGTGATAGTGGTAGTCATGGTAAAAGGTGATAGTTATACACATGGTGGTTCTGAAGGGTGTTGTCAGCGGTGGTCCTGGTAGGGGGTGAGAGTGGTTTTCATGGTAAGAGGTGATAGTGGTTTGTCGTGGTAGGTGGTGATAGTGGTTTTGGTGGGCTTCGTGGTGAATGGTGAACGTGGTGGTCCTAGGGGTCGTGATAATGGTGGGCGGTTATGGTTACAGTCAATGGTGATAATAGTCTAGTAGTGATCCAGGGGGTGATGATAGTGATTGTTATGGTGAATGGTGATAGTGGCAATTATAGTGGGTCTGGTGGATGTCCCATGAGTGGTGATTCTGGTCAGGTGGTGGTCCTAGGGAGTGGTGATAATGGCAGCAATAGTGGTTGGTCATGGTGGGTAGTGATAGTGGTTGATCATGATGGGTGGTGATAGTGGTTGGTCATGATGGATGGTGATAGTTATAGTCATGGTGAGTGACGTGTGAACATAAAAAAAAACATGCAATTCTTTACACTGCTGTCAGATATGGAAGGCGGCAAATCATGGTAAAGGCGATAATGGTCGTTAGGCTATTTGTGCCAGCGGCTAGATAATGGTGACAGTGATAACAGGTGATAGTGGTCCTAAGTGAGTGGTGACCCGCGAGACTGTGGTGATGTTCTGAGTAGTAATGGTACTGGTCCCAAAACAATGGTGACTATCAGACACTGTAGTGGAGATGAATCGTGTTATGGGTGGTGGTGGAGAGGATAAAGGCAGGTCCCGGTGAACAATGCCAGATAATGTTAAGTAAAAATACTCATGACTGGTTACGAATGGCTGAAACATTTGATGAACGGAATTAGTGAGTAGTTACATAGCTGCTGTGAGTGACTTCAGTTCATTGCGAGTGGCGATAGTACCGTAGTGTTTGCAGTGGGTGGTGATAATGAACGTCATTAATAACGATTGCCGTGATAAGACGATTTGTCAGTTTCATTAAGATCATGGATGGTAATGTGATTGACTCGTGCCAATTAATGCACGTGACGAGAGCAACAGTGATGTAATTGATTACTGCATTTCTTCAAGATCAATTGTGACACTTAGTCAACACGCTCACCGCTAATGTTTATTTACATTACTCAGGGACTACACACTTATAAAACATTATTTTCGCTCCTAAATATAAGTTCAAACTATTTCATTCTCTACGAATAACATTACAGAAAGCCGCGGATATTGGTGTCAATGTAAATTATAAATAATAAAACCGCTTGCCGTCGTCCAGTACTGTTGGGATGATAAGGTTGAGCGCGGGTGGTGGTGCTGTTAGCCGCGCCCTCCAATACTACCACGTCCTCTTTTACTCACCTTCACCAGTGTCTAGGTGTCCGCTCCGGCGTCCTCGCCAGTTCAACACTCCGCTGGGGCCCTATCCCACTCACAAAAATTCTTCAGATTACAATTATCTACACACAAAGCTTCGCTACACCTTGCCGCGCCACAGCCTCTCATCAAACTGAGTGACGTCAGGAACTTGCTTGGTTTATTTTCCTTCTCGGCCAATAGATGGCGAGACCAGCTATAGAAAACGAGCACAAACTTGAAAGAAAATGAGGTATTTTATGGGGTACGATCCTGAAATTCTCATCGAAATGATAATTATCTAAAGTGATGAAAGACACATTCAGGAAGAAAGTTACACGGAACATAAAGCCAACACCAGATTATCTTGTCACTTGAAGAATATTCGAAAGGTAATGAAGCTTTAGTAAATAAACTCGTAATCCATACCACAGTAATGTGATTTTCTGATGCATGTATATTTTCTAATAATTTAATTTTCAACTGCAGTAACCAAGTTAAACAGTTGAGGGGCTTATAAATATTACTGCACTTAGTTAAAGAAAAGACATTGCACACTTGATAGCCATACGTTATCCGTTGGAAACAGTGCTGAGCGGAATTTATTGTCAGAAGAAGTAATTAACCCCAATTACCAAATCTAAAGATAATATAGCCCGACTATGGATATATTTGCGATACGGTCTACCAGCCAGGGCCGGATTCAGGAGTGGGCAAAGTGGGCAGCTGCCCAGGGGCCTCCACAATCTGGGGGCCTCCACATGTGCGGTAGTACCTACTGTATATCAGGGCTGGTCGACTTGAAACCACATGAATGACTCCAGTCATGTCTCACTTTTGTGTGTGTGTGTGTGTTCTAATTTCCTCAATATAACAGCATATGGCTTCAAAATTCTCCAAAGAAGTGTTCAAATTTAAAAATTTTCCCGGGGGGCTTACAGCGCCCCCCGAAACTCCCAGATGTTTAGGCTCGCTTCACTCGCCACCCCACCCTCCTGGGTAGTTATAATTTACTGTATAATTGATAAATTATGTTCCTCCTCTGTTGCTATAGAAATGTGTATTATAATCAGCTGTGGTCCTTCGAGATTCACTACCATCAATCCTTAACTCTTGGATAGTCCCACAAGCTTTTCAATACACACACACAAGATAGGATAGAACCAAGGGCACTATACATGCACCTACAATATCGCCACTGCTATATTTACGTAACTCTTTTGACATCTGAGGGGGGCCTCCACAAAGAGGCTGCCCATGGGCCGCCACAGGTCTAAATCCGGCACTGCTCCTTTTCCTTATAGCAGGGCAACTAATCAGTCAACGACCCAAATTCTGAAATCTCATATTAATATTTCCTCGTCAATAGAGAAGGAATGCATCTATTGGCTATTAATAACTGTATTAAGTTGACCCCTGACATGTACCCTAGCAGGTCAGTGTGTCAACCCTCGTGTTAATATATGTACGAGTATTACCAACTTAATCACTATTACTGATTGACGGAACTGAGCATTTAATTATTGGCAGTAGTAGTAGTATCACTTATTCATTATTATTAAGTTATTATAATCATTTGCATTACTGATCAAGACAGTTCCTTGACCGCAAATGCCCTCGGGTTCAACGTCACGGCTGCCAGTTTGGTTCTAAATTAAAACCATGAGCTCTCTCTTTGTGCGCGTGTATAAGATAACAAAACCACGAACCAGCGTATTTCTACAAGTTTAGGTTAACCTCTCCTCCACTCCATCAACTTACTAACCATGTAGGTGGTTACTTACCGCTTGGAGTTTGTCGGAATGGATTGCAGATCAAATGGATCTCCAGTCTTAAAAGCTCTCAATTTATCTTAACCTAACCCGATCTCTAACACTACGGGTCATTAGGGTTGAAATGGAATAACGCAGATTAAAGCCTATTAGGCCTGGACCCTAAATCCAAGTGGTTACCTCAGGTAAGTCTATTAGAAATGGGCCCTAATGGTTGATTTAGGCTGGGGGTCTATTACAGTAAATCCTTCGACCAGTCATGTGAGCTAGGTCAGGTGTGTTGATACACGCGAGCATGAGTCAAGTGTTGGTGTTAGCCTGCTTGGTGGTGGTGGTGGGGAAGACTGCGTTAACTTCTTATCGTTGTGCTGATACTGGCTTCCTGTTCGGTATGTGTGTGCTGTATTTTTCATATTTGACTCGCGTTCACACCTCAGATATGTTTGACAATATGGCAAATAACATCGATTTAATTTATCATTCTCTCCTTTAAATAAAATTCACACTGGTAGTAATCTATATCGATAGATCCCATCAAATCCGCTATTACATTTTTGTTTATACCACGTGATCTGGTTCAGCCAATCAGCGGTCGACGTGACGCGAGGCAGTCCACAAGTCTTAAAAAAAAACTTATATATATATATATATATATATATATATATATATATATATATATATATATATATATATATATATATATATATATATATATATATAAACCCACAGAAATGTATCTCAATTTCTAATTAATGATGATTAGTGTATGTACTTACATAGAATACTCACTTAAAGATTTTAATTGTAAAAGCGAAGAGATGCATTGTAATATAAATAAACTTTACACGATTCAGTGTTCATGACTATTACAGCACAGCCTACTGTTCAAAATCCCAGATGGTGAGGATATTTCCCTGGCATTATTAAAATCGAATAGTGGGTATCTGTTTGACTAGAATTTGTCTTCTTTGTATTTCAGTGTACTCTTTTAATTCTGTATTTATTAAGGTCGATGTCTTAATACCGTCATAATTAGGTGGAAACGGTGAGGCAGTATGGTGGTTATCTTCCCTGGACCAGAGAGAATCACCAATCTATATCTGTATTACAGCAAGTTTATGATGACTTCCTCTGAGTCACACATACACAATAGAAGAGAAATTATATTATGTTAGTTAACCCACAATAAACAGGCAAGGGGTAAAACGAATTTGATTTTCAGCAGTTGTTCCCTGGTATACAGTACATAGGTATTATCGAACTCATGCTATCAGCCTTTAATGTTATGACATGTCTCAGAATACCCCGGTGTCTAGTCTATAGTACTAACATATACGCTAATTATCTTAAACGAGTATAAAACATGCAGAAAGACCAACAAGTCGTCTAATATAATGGTATACGGTACACCTACAAGATCCATAGCTTTTCGAAGTTTAAAAAATTTGTAGCTGTAAAATCATAACTAAAATGGAAAAAAGTATCTTCAATTACAATTAATTACATTGTGTTGTGAAAAACACCTTAAAGAATCCACAATTACTGATCGAACAACTCTTAGTGACTGCACGTAACTACGTCCACTTTTGTTATCTCTCCTTGGGGAAGGTGATAACTTTTGAAGGAATGGAAAGATTACCTTGAAACTTGGCAGATACTATTGCCAGCATATGCTATGTTCCTCGCCTCATAGACAACTCTGTGCATGTGGTATCGCCGCAGTCAAGCTACTCTAACTGGGGGATGGTGGGGGCTTTATATTTAATTTTCTTTCAGATATTACATGTATATGTCTGCTTTATAACTACGTTGTTGGACTTTGTAGCCCACCTTCCCTTCCCCCCACCATCCACCAGTTGGGGTACCCTGACTATCACTGCAGCCCTACCACATACACTGTACTGCGTCGCCTGTGAGACGAGGAAAACATTGGTTCCCAAACTTAAAACTATTAGAAATTTATCATTTAGAATCTGGTTATATATATATGGTTGTGGCAAGAGCCACATGTCCACTAAAATGATTAGCTCCACTATTTGGGAATTCTACACAATTACAGTACCTTATAATGTGTCGTCGTCTCTGTTAGTGCTCAGACACTATACTTGTATTCATCAAACTTATATCTTTAAAAAAAATTTGTAACATGCATGAGGAACTCCAACCTTAAGAATAATTCCAATTGTGCTGTATCATCACATGATAGCAGCTAAACACATGACTGAGGTATTGTTATCTTGACGTCACTCAAGAGCTCACACAAACAGTTGCTCACACAATCAGCTGTAAACTCTACCACCATCACCAGTCTACGTTGCCACCCCTTCCTAAGTCTTTCATCGACTTCACAGCCAAAATGTCAGGTAAGGTGCAATTAATCCCAAGGAACACGAATTTAACTTCCAACGTTTTCATATATATTGATATAAAGTCTGAGTAATGTGAAAACAAAAAATCATTTAGTTTGTGTTGTAAGTTTAGTACAACTAATCACTATCCTAGTACAATGGCGACTCCTAAAACCATTAGTTGTGTTCTTTACTGTACAACAGGAACACGGGACATGAGTATAGTTTTTCCGGGACATGAGTTTAGTTTTTCCCGAGTTTTTCTTCAGTCCATGAAAATTCCAGTTTTGTGTGTACAAGTATACCTCATATCTGAACAAGCGAAACAAGTGGCGAGACTGAAGTACTTCGCATTATTATTCGTGAGCAGCTTGTGGCAACGTTTCATATAAATCCAAGTTCCGGATTCTCTTAAGATTTGTCTTACATGTACCTCTAACTCAAGAAGTGAAAACAGATCTTACTGCCTCGCTTATTTGTTCGAGTGAGAGTTGTGGACTCTTGGAATAAACTACCAGCGTGTTGTGACGACACCGAGTGTGAGCTCATTTATGACTAACTTGACCAACACTAGTGCAGCAGGTTCAAGTATACATTCTGGAGTCAGTGCATCCCCAACCAGTACTCTATTTGTTGAGTAACAGAAGCGACCACCTGCGGGCGGTCGCTTCTGTAGACCTTGCTCTAGCGGCTAGCTCGGGTGCCAACCAGTGACGAAGGGGATAAAGTACATGTAACGTATACCTAAGGTGCGACACAAACATAGCGAACACTAGTACAAGAAAATGTAAAGAAAAACAATGCTTACATTAATTCTTTAAATCCAGAACACTAATGCATCACCGCCGCATTTTAGTTACTAATACAGTCATGTACTTAATAATTACATTACTTAATAATTATATTAATTAACAACTGATTTAATGTAGTACTGAATACCAATGTTAAAGATTTTTTCGACTAATATTAGCGGGAGACAATGTTGACAATATTTCCCGTCGCTGACAAAACATAACTTCGTTTATATTTCTTCAGTGAATAACAATCAAAATTATATTTTATCGCCTTTAGCACCACAAAGAGACGCAATTTTCATGGGTAATTAACTTCAGGATGGAGGAACATAATCATAAACAAAATTTGTAGCGGATGAACGATAAATATAAACCGTTAAATTAATTGGTCCAAAGCCTAATTACTTAATATACTCTTACTGCTATACAATTTTGCGTATCGTTGAATTTCGTTCTGAAAATAGGGGTTTGCTATGCCATGTTTGCATACCCCAAAATTTGATCTACTTATATGAGAGGATCTGGGGATGTTGTGCACTCTTGCATTGTCAACAGTATATATGGGATAGTCTAAATTACTAAATGAGATAGCCTATATTATGATAAATTGATAAAGGATAACCTATACACAATACTTCCATTTTATCAGCTAGAATATAAAATGGAAGTGCATGTAAAGGTTAATGTTTGTGTGTATCTTTACTGCATTCTCATGAACGAGTATAATTAATCGGTGGCATGGATCTACAGGGTTCTCCCAACTGCCTCCCGCCTGGAACAACCCTTCAGCATCACCATCTGCGCCGCCGTTAGACCCTAGCGCGTACTCCCAACTCCCGTTCCCCCAACATCCACATTCTCAACAAATATATTCCCAACAGCCATATCCCCAACAGCCAAATCCCCAACAGCCAAATCCCCAGCAGCCAAATCCCCAGCAGCCATATTCCCAACAGCCTTATCCTCAACAGTCGTACCAGCAGCAACAGGGACAACCTTATTCACAACAGATGTATCCACAGAAGCCTTATCCTCAACAGGCGGTAAGTACGGACGCTTCATAAACTAAACACACCTTCACTTCTCCCTCCCTGGACAATCTTGTCAATTTAACCTTCAAGATCACTGAAAAAGGAAACACGGATGCTAAGCTGGGAAATAATGTGTTCCTGAGCTCCTATAGTTACCAACTATTCTAACCAAGACAAACTTTAATTAATCTACTTCTAACAATGAAAAGTTTGAATTAATCTAACACTATGTGCTTCTAACAAGGCTTGGCCAAGCATAATTCAATTTGCCTTCAGCCCAACAACACCTAAACTAATTTAGGATAACTTTTAACCTAGCCAAACCTAAACCAATCTAACGTCGTATCTTTCACCAAACAGACAAAATTTATCATCTAACCTAGTGGCATAACTTGTCTCTGACACGCCACAACTGTATCTAATTAAACCCAAGTTAACTTTTCCTCGCCGACGCATCTCTACAACAACCTATACTTATTTAATTGCAGTAAATCAAGCATGTGTACTTGAAGAACGAACCAAGTCTTTATACAGAAGATAGGGGTAAGGGTGTGGAGGATGAAGTTCAGTGTGGAAGGGGCACAGATGTGGAGGTAGTGGTGCAGGTGAAGTGACAGGGTTGGAGCAATTACATTTACTTCGAATCAAATACAATTACAGATATTATTTATTTTCACAATTTTCAATTACAATTACTTTGCCTTTTTATCTATAAAAGTTTATCCCAAATTTATTATTTTCTATAATTTCGTTCTTGCATGGTCCATGATTGTAATCAGATCTTTTATTTTGCATTATCACTCACAAGGAGGCAACTTTTCAAATACATCCATGTTGCACTTGATCAGCACTATTGATGGGTAGAAAGTGATCTGAAGTTGGGCTGTGCTTGGAGTGAACAAATCTCCAGCAATACTGAAGACTCACTCAGGAAAGAGCCCATGTGGGAGTACATCCCACCATCTTCTTTACAAGTGTTCAGTGAGAGCAGAGTTGGGGCGACATATTTCATAAACTGGTGTCTACATAAATAGCGCCCCATGGTTGAAGATCTGGTATACTGTATTACACATTTAATAAACTATGGACGCTTTCATCTTCAATTACAATATATTACAATTACTTCAGTGGAAAAATTCAAATACAACTACAATTACACTAAATGTTGTATCTAAATATTTTTTAATTAAATTATAAATCTAACCCTGAAAACGACACAACTGTGGAGGTGCAAGTGTGGACAATGGAGTTCGGGTGTTGAGGGTACAGGTGTGGACGGGAGTGTATTTACCAATTACACTTTGTAAATTAGACGATCTCCCACCAATTACATTTCAGGACGCTATTATCCTCCCAAATTCTGAAATAAATATGTTAGGCCTCACCATTTCCTCCAATATGTCTTGGAAATCACACATCCTTAGTATAACTAAAGTTGCCTCCCGAAAGTTGGGAATGCTGTACAGATGCCGCAGCTACTTCACTCCTGAGCAGTTGCTCCAAGTATATAAGGGATTCATTCGTCCTAACTTGGAGTACTGCTCTCATATCTGGGGTGGCTCTTCTTCTGTCCAACTATTAGATAGGGTGGAATCAAAGGCATTTCGTCTTATTAACTCCCCTCCTTTAGTCGACAATCTCTCTTCCCTTTCTCTTCGCCGCAATGTTGCTTCACTCTCTCTCTTTTACAGGTACTTTAACGGGCAATGTTCAGTGGATTTGGCATCCTGTGTACCGCCGGCAAGGCCGTGGGTTCGTAACACACGTCTTGCCCGCGGTGCCCACCGTTTCTCCGTGGATGTCGGTCACACGAGAATAACCCGTTATAGTACCTCCTTTCCTCACATAGCCAAACTGTGGAATGCTCTTACAATGTCTCATTTTAAAAAGCTGGTTTTCCGGCATCTTCGTGGTGTAGATTAATTCAGTATAACCTTTTTTCCCATATTTACAATTTCTTTCCGTTCTTTTTCTTTCGCCCCCAAGCTCCGTTGTGGGTCATTTGACCTGTGCCCGGGTGGGCTAATTCCCATAAAAAAAAGACGTGGGGAAGAGGGTACAGGTGTGGGCGAGAGGGTATAGGTATGGAGATGGAAGGCACTCGCTCGGGAAGATCACCCACTAATTCTTACAAATTAGCTAATAATTTCCATCTCCCTTCATTATTACTATTTTCCGTACAAGAGATGAAAGTGGGTAGTCTTTGGTGCGAAAATTAAAAGTTTTAATATAGGCTAGACCTGGGTGGTATTTTTCTTTTGATCCAAGAGAAATTAAGTTTTGCACCTCAGGCGGGAGTACGAGTACATAATTCATGCTCTTGTAAATTTTGTTTTCTTATCTTCCTTTACTTGTCTCTATACCAAGTAAATAACGAGAGACTGTAATATTCAATTACTAAATGTATGCGACATTGCTTCTAGTTTTAGGATAACCACCTAAGATGCAAGATGTCTTTCGTAGGCTTATGTTACATATTAAAGAGTCGGAGTCCAGGGCGAATGCACTAAACCAAGTGGTATTGTAACAGCCATCGACACAAGTGGTGGTGGAGCAGCGTGACCCATCGCCTGTGATGCTACACACCCAACAGCCTCCAATCATCGTCCAGGAGAGAGTCGTCATCAATAACAGGGTAGGTTCAAAGCTTGTCTTCCTCACCCGTATCACCTCCACTGTGTACAGTACATGTGTTCTGACGTCATTAACACGTGTTCATGTTGGTTCTCCACTTATGTAAAATAAATGTATTTAAGATAGTGTCTGTAAATTTTAAGTTACATTACGTTTATTTCCATGCCTTATCTGTAACTAATAATAATATTGCTCTTACTATAATACAGTACTGGGAGGGTTAACTCTTATGCTACTGATTACGACATAGTTTTAATACTACGAATTAAAATTAACTTTAAATGCTCTTTTGTGATTACTTCTGAGAACTATTAATATTTTTTTTAATTCAGTATTATGATTTAATATGATAACTAATGATTAAGATGAATTAACTTTTAATATTACTGATATGAATAATTAGTTCCACAGTCTCACAAATTTTTAGTGCGGCTGACAGGATAATCATTTTGTACTTATCTCGATATCCTTCATTGTCAATGTTACACTATTTTATATCAAAGTACTAGCCTACTGATCATGTTTTAATCGTCGGGAATCAACAAGATTGAAAACATCCTCAGCAAAGCTAATCGTACGCGCCAGTGGCACACTATTGTTGATTAAAAAACGCAATGGCCCACCCCCAATTTGTTAAACTTGGATCACATTTACATTCGATTATATTTCCTTGGTAGAGGCCGTTGGTGGGTGCAGGAGTGGGTGCGGACTTGTTGTTCGGCATGGCAGCGAGTAGAGGCCTCCGACACCATCACCGTCACCACCATCACCGCCACCACAGGCATTAGTGTGGTGCTGGTGTCACGTGAGGAAAAATGATGATGGTAACAGTCTCAGCAGAACCAGAAAGCACCCAACAACTCCACCATTTACTACTGTAGACTTCTAATTTAAAGTGTATTTCTACAAGCAAAATACACTTGAACAAACAGGTCCTGCTTATGTTTTAGATCCTGGAGAATGCAACTGGATTTTGATACATTAAATGAAAATGTACAGTACAGTACTATTGTTTAGATGAATGTTCAATACATTACATAACAAGTGATTCCCTCTATATTAAAGTCCTGCCCACTTTGAACAAGTAATATTATTGATAATTTAATGGGTTACAATACTTAAAAATATAAATTTCCAAAGGAAACATTACAAAATAAATTATTTTCAGTTTTTTCTTTCTCCCTATACTGTATGACTCACTGTATGTAAGTACGTGTTGGCAGCTTCTAAATATTTACCCAAATAAGCAATACTGTATATATCGCAGATCATATTTGACTGCGAACCAGAGCTAAGCATAATAGGTATTTCCAGGACTTTTAAAAAAGGGTCATCGAATGAACCATGTCCAGAAGATCCTAGGCGTGATGTACTTTAGCAATAATAGCAACGGTCACAGAAACACCAAAATATATACCTTTTTACCAAATCTGAAACAAGATTTATGGCTAGACGCCTTTGCTTTATCAATCCACTTTTACAGAGGAAACTGGCATTATTATTATTATTATTATGTAGAATTTCCACGCGCCCTCTTGGCGGGCAAATTGATTGGGGTGTATTTTACTTGGGAGAGTTTAAGTTCAATTTCGATTAGCTAGGTTACATGCAAGGAAATTTGCGCAATTTCAAAAGTGCTTTTTTTTTTACTCCAAATAAGCTTTTAAAAATCTCTCTGCTAATTCGATAATACGTACACAAGTTTCATATTTCGTAGATGTCCTGCAGCACACGTATACAGTACACAGACGAGATAATTGTGATGAGTAAATTTCCACGTGTCGCTTGCGGGATCATGTATTTTGTATTTATTTTTTAATACAGAGAAAACAAACAAACCAAATACACCAAACTTTAATAAAACTTGGTCCCATAGAACTGACGGCCTGTTAGGTGAACCGATTTTACATACTTTGCACTAACATTTCTTTTGCACACTCGATGTACGGCAGCCGTATGATGGTACAGCAGAGAATCACCCAGACACAAGATGCGGTTGTGGTGCTTACTTCCGGTTGGGTAGAGAGGTGAGGTTTGGTTAGCCAGAAAGAAAGATTATCTTAATAACTATGGAAAACGGTTTTATATTTTATTTCGTCGTGTTTCATACGAATTCCACCTTCATTTCCATCGGAAATGAGTATTTATGGAGATTTGAAACTACCACCCCAATTATCAACAATATTGGTTGCAGAATGTAGGCAGGGGTTTGAAGAAAGGGGAAATTGTGAGATATAAAGAAGAAAAAAAGACGAAACGAAACCAGAAAGACCTGACCTAACCTCCTATCCTAGCCACAGCTTAAAAGAAAAAAACTTACCTTTGGGTAGTGTCTGTCTCTTACTGCAATACCAAGTATGCCGATCTTCACGACACTGACAGCCTGAATCACACCTTGGACACTTAACAGAGGAAGTGAGAACACCAAGAGCCATTAAGATGTCAACAGCTGCAGCTTCGTTCTCAAAAACTCGCTGAATTACACGTCAATTCACTAAGATGCAACTTCAAAGACAAACGCCATCTTGTAAATAACCATTCAACTTCTATAACTTGAATGTGCATGCTCACAAGTCTTCCGATGATTGGCTCAAAAGTACCACTGTGACTTGACACCCACTTCCGCTGATTGACTGGGTAAAATGAAAGCCAAGAAGAATGCTAAGGTGCTCCGTTGTTTCCCTTTTCCCGTGTGATTTTATCATTATATATATATATATATATATATATATATATATATATATATATATATATATATATATATATATATATATATATATATATATATATTGTCTCAATGTAAGCACGTTGATCTTTAGATGCATGATTACTTCGTTTCAACCAATGAATCCTTAATTTACTTGCCTTGTAAGTTTGGGACTACAGAGTACGGTAATTATAATTGTGAAAATCTTTATTAGAAACAATATTTTCTTTGGACATGTAACAATAATAATAATATTTATCAAGTCAAGATGTCAAACAGGTTTACAATTGCATTGTAACGTAGTGAATGTGGCCAGTTGTCTAATTTCTGTTCGGCTCACATACAAGAATCAAGAATCGAAATACTGCCGATTGGCCAAGATGAAGGCGGCAACTGACCAACCACCTTGTAGTTAGAACGCAGGGCTGATTTGCGGAACTCGCCGCTGGTTGGCTGGTAAGTGGACGGCAAGTGACCAATCGGCAGTTGTAGGGGAGAATATCCACTACAGCATAAACATATTTATAAACTATGCAGTTATAACAGTTCAGCACATGAATATAGACGGTGTAGGTATATGGTGAATGTAGGGCCGTAGGACTTGGCGAGACAGTACAGGTAAACGACAATGGTAAACAGTATAGCAATTTGACTTAAGGATTGCTGACAAAGCAGTCAGGTGCTTTCCAGGAAGGTCCTTTAATATATTGGTACAAGCTTCATGTACAGTAGCTAAAACAACTACCTGTGCATACTTTGTGGGAAACAATGAGAGACCATGGACGATAAATATTGGTATATGACGGCTGTCACAAGTCACACGTAAAATTAAGGAGCATATCGACTACCACCTGCACAGATAGTTGTTTTAGCTACTGTAGTACACACGATCAAGTGTATCTAGGCACATATCGCGCGAAACAATGACAATAGACGGTGGATAATGCAAAATGCCATACATCACTTGCTTGCGATACTTCCTGCCTTAACCATAGTATTATAATATGCACATTTATAATAAAACATAGATTTAATCTTGCGAACAAGCGTAACGTGGTTCATGTATGTTGCGGCGGAAGTGTATTGATCATTTAGGAAACCATCCCGACGTCCAGATACTTTTTTGATCGTGTGTACAATCACGAAAACACTACAATTGATTTTCATGTCATGACTATTTTACAAGAAATTCTTCGCCGTCTTGTAATGTGCGGTGAGAGCAATGCTAGAGTTCCTAGCATTGTGGAGTGAACCGAAGAGCACGTGTCCCAGCTGAGTGATGGTGGCGCGACAGGCAGGCTCTTTCTCTGTCTCTTTCAGTAGTTCACTCGTGATCTTCCACCGCCAGGACTGATACTCTTTCAGACTATTCTTTTGGGTGTCCATATTGTCACCAGAGGGCTGTGTGTCGGTGGCACTCATGTGTTCCATCAGGAACTGTAGGGTTACCTTACTAAGGGTCGCCCCGTCATACAGGAAAGCATAAATATCACTCACTGTACCGTAGGGATCCATCGATAGTCTCTCTAGCCGTAACCTGGTTAGTTTGGCCGGATACTTTTTGAGCAAGTTATTATATCTGCACATGTCATCTTGAAGTGCAGAACACCTGATAGAAGGTTTACTGTTCCAACCAAGATTTTTTATGGAGGTTAATGACCCCCTCGGATCACGGACTAAATGGATAATTTTGATTTTGAGAGAAGTGTCATTTAAGAGACCTTCTAGCCACGAAAGTCGAGATCTAATCACTTTCACTATCCTGATGCTTGCATTTTGGCACAAACTTCGGAGATCCAGTTTTCGTCTACATGCACCCCCTCCTTCCTTCGGTCTCCCGAAGCATCGGCTCACACTAGAGTGGAAATATTTTAAGAAAAGGCCTTTTCCTTTCAGCCAGTTTTCGAAGTTTCGTTCATAAGTACACTTAAAGATGCTGGATATATATTCCTTAACACAAGTACCGTTCAGGAGGCAAGGCTTCATTTGAGGGTTAGAGAGAGGCTCGAAGAAGAGGACGGAGTTGTGGTGTGTGGCTAGGAGCTCGGCCACCAGTGTGGAACCACTACGGGGTAGGGAACTGAGTATTAGCACCTGGGTAACACTAGCAGCAGCACCTTCACCCTCCACTGCGCTACTACCACCCCCAACCTTCCCCTTTTTTACCGTATGTGGCTGATCTTGCAAGCTAACTTCCACACCTGAAAGAAACCATACTATTAAGGAAGGACAGTTACAGCTTTTATGTTACCAAATGACATCTTTTTCGAATCTACATTACTTGCGGTACACATCGTAGCACGAGACGAACATGAAGTTGTTTGTTGGCAAAAAAAAAAATAAAATAAAATATTAAGCTCTTGCTAATTTTCTTAACGGATACGTCACAGCTATTTGCTTTGCAAGGTAATTGATAAAAGGTAAAAAATAAATAAAAAATCTCAGACACGATCACAACTTTGGTGAAACCTTGCCATCCCTGGCTCGCAATATATGACATTCTGACCATACTCCCGAGCAGTAATACTCTATAATAAATCAACCATAAATCTTTAAAGATTGCACACGTGCAGAGCCATTCGATCTTTAATTAAACAAGCATCCCTGTGATAACAATAACGTGAGGCGCAAAGGTGGGATTTAGTTGAAATGGGTTAAGTATACTGTCGTAGTATAATCTGGCTTCGTTTTGCTGTAAAGCTCGTTTAATGTTTATACAATATAGGCTGCGCGAGTTTATTCTCATGAACATTATCTTTTACAATTACTTATCATGTTAAACTTAATATTTATAAGCGGAAGAACAAAGAATTTAGCTTTAATTCCTTCTATTTATTAGAACCTTTGGTAAATTGACTACCCGGTTTTCTTCTCAAAAATATTAACTCGTTATTTGTTAAATGTATAACCACTATACAAAAATATAGAAATCATTTACATACCCTAATCCTTATATATGAACAGTCGATTTGACTCGATTCGAATATTTAGGAATAGTTTGATTCGGAAAACTAGCAGAACCCTATTTCCTGTGTAAATTAATTAATGGGCAACATCACTATCAGGTATACAAGTATGTACTGTATTTCATGGCATCCAAATATGAGAGCAACCCAATTTGAAAATATTTAATTATAAATTTTATCATTCCATCTTCTTGGGTGGTAGATGTACACTCGTGAACAAAAGTCCTGCCGCCCCTTCTGCTGCTCCACGAACCCTGAGATTCAGACTCATGAATCCGAAGCATTTATGGGCAGAATAATGCACCAGTGTCTACTGCTTCGGGTTCACGAGTCTGAATCTCTTGGTTCGCGGAACAGCACAAGGGGCGACAGGACTTCTGTTCACGACTGTACAGTACACTTGTATATACTGTACAACTAAAATATACCCCCTAATGAGTGAAGTACTATTCAGCTGAAAGTCTATTTTACTTTTTTAATCTACTTCAAATAGCCAATTTTTTTTTTACATACCTGCGCCGCTTTTGGTCACATGAAAAACCCTCCGTGATATTAATGCTGACGAGGTAAATATTACTGCTATGAAGGCCAAAGGAGCCCGCACTCTGTGAAGTCTGGTCGCCATTACACTGCCTACGCCACTGTACTAACGTCACCCACCCCACGACTCACCCACGAGTCGACTTATGATGGTGTCTTCCCACTACGCACAATGATCTTGTCAACCATTACCGGCGTGAGCTACATCATCTCCCACATACTGAGTAAAAACATTGAAATCTGAAATCTAAAGATAAATACTCTTTCAAAATATATTACAAATTAGTGTAATTATATCATAACATACTTTTTCAGCTTATAAAGATAGGTTGTTTGATTGAACAAACCAATTTATACACAGTTGGCAACGAGCGCCATGACGATGTGAAGTCGGAAGCACCGTTAGTGTTGGCGAACACCGTTTTGGAGAATTATAGCGGGAACTTACGTTTTTTTTTTTTTTTTTTTTTGACGGGCATTAGCCCACCCAGGAACAGGTCATTTTTAATGACCCTCAACAAGGCCCGGGGGGTAAAAATATTATAAAATAATAATAATAATAAATTACAATTAAATAAAAATAATATTAAAAATTAATTAAAATAGTAAAGCCATAAATAAATAAAATATCAAGAGTGAGAAATAATGTGTTGTGTTGTTAAAGTTAGAGAAACAATTGCAGGGTCTCGATTGTTTCTCTTACTCTAACACAAAATACATACATGATACATTGTTTCTCACTCTTGGTCTTTTTTTTTCATTTTTGTGTCTTTATTATTTCATTATTTTAATTTTAATTGTTATCATTATTACATTTTCGCCCCCCAGGCCCCGATGTGTGTCAGTGACCGGTGGCCGGGTGGGCTAATCCCAGTAAAACCTACTATACCTGTAACGTTAGTTTTTCTGATTCAATGGACAATGTAAAATTTCTCTGTGAACAACAAAATCTATTGTGTGAACATCAGTGTTACTTCGGTTCACCACTTCCAAAAGTTTTAAGTGTTAGTTCCAACAAATAAATGCAATACACTGATATTACATAATCAATCTTCAACTCGTTTAACATGCAAATGCCTAATTTTGTTTTACCAGAGGGAAATTGGTGAAGGGGAATTAGGTTCCGAAGGTGTAAGGGAACATTTTTTTTTTTAGTTTGAGGAACAAATTAATCAATCACGTACACAAATAGATAGCTCTATTGACCACAGTTTATCGCGGTTAATATACTGACGATGGTGTGGCTGCTGCCTCACTCGTTACAGCCCCTACCACGGGTCCGACTAATTACCCAAATGTAGCCGCAATGAAGTCAAATAATGGTCCTACATGAATAAATCGGACTGCCAATCACTTATTGACTGGTATTTGGTGTCACGAAGTCACAAAAAATTGGTAAACTTAATTTAATCCGAGTTAATAGATCAAGTGCATGTACCGTACCTAACCTAACCTAACCTAACCTAACACAACTCTGATTAAATTAAGTTTACCAATTTTTTGTGACTGACACCAAATAATAATCGAGAAGTGATTAGCAGTCTGATTTATTCATGTAGGACCATTATTTGACTTCATTGCGGCTACAGTTGGGTAATTAGTCGGACCGCATACACCACACCTCTAAGTAACTACAAGTACACTGACTGAGCCTGAGGCATAACTCAGCTGTGTTCACTCACAGGAACGCAACACTGCAGTACGCATACTCTAATTTCTCCCATGAAACTGGCCGCTTCCATGCAGGTATTTGGTAAATTAAAAGTGGAAATGGGAAGCGAGAATACGGCCATATGAAGGCAAACTATGAGAGGATAATATAACCTACAAGTATGGAGAGAGCGGTTTAGGAACATTGTTTCATAATACTATTTACATCACCAGGTGTAACTAATCTACAAATCTAGTGACTTATATAATACTGAATTAGTAATGAGAATGTGAACCAGAAATTATCCTTGTTACGGAACTATTTTGCTTATCTGTTTAATCAAAGCGAAAGCCATAACTACCTCTGAGGGAAGGAAAAAATAAATCTTTACAACAAAAACGTCGGCCACATTAATATCCCAGCAGCTTTTTCATTGCCAACCTAATAGTTGCAGTGCTCCCTATTTTAGCAAAGGCAATTGCATTTGTAGCCCCACCCCCGGATTTCCTGTTCACCCTTACATTTTTAGGGGTCCAATTGCATTCTCCATGTCCCAGTTATATAATTATTTAATGCTACTGTATTTTTGGAGTCTTCATAGTTCAACAAATTCTCTAGTGTTGTGGGCCGTATTAAACAGTTATGGGGTGTACAACGCCATTTACGATGACCTTCTTGCCCTGATCTTGTTTAAAAAATACCACCTTTTCGAAGCTCTGGACAGATCTCTAAGTTTCGATATTTTGAGTACAGTACTAGCTAATAATTCCCACAAGGAAACTTGGTTCGAGACTCCTCCAAAGCTTCGAGAAGTGCAGAGTTCCATGTGTTAAAGGCGATATTGCTGAAAAAGATCAGGGCAAGAAGGTACACCCTATAACTGTTCTTGAATATGGCCCTACCACAGTCTTAAGTAAACTCTGATGCTACTTACCGTGGTCATCAACTAACTGATGCTACTTACCGTGATCCACAGCAAACTATGGTGCTACTTACTAAAGTCCATAGCAAACTCTGGTGCTACCTACCATAGTCTATAGCAAACTCTGGTGCCACTTACCACAGTCCATAGCAAACTGTGCAACTCACTAGTCACCGGCAAACTCTGGTACTACTTACCATAGTCTATAGCAAACTCTGATGCTACTTAACATAATCCAGAGCAAACTCTGGTGCTACTTACCATAGTCCATAGCAAACTCCATAGGTGCTACTTAACATAATCCAGAGCAAACTCTGGTGCTACTTACCATAGTCCATAGCAGCAAACTCTGGTGCTACTTAACATAATCCAGAGCAAACTAGCTACTACTAGTCCATAGCAAACTCTGGTGCTACTTAGTCTATAGCAAACTCTGAATCCATAGCAGCAAACTCTCTGGTACTACTTACCATAGTCTATAGCAAACTCTGATGCTACTTAACATAATCCAGAGCAAACTCTGGTGCTACTTACCATAGTCCATAGCAAACTCTGGTGCTACCAACCATAGTCCATAGCAAACTCTGGTGCTACTTAACATAATCCAGAGCAAACTCTGGTGCTACTTACCATAGTCTATAGCAAACTCTGGTGCTACTTAACATAATCCAGAGCAAACTCTGGTGCTACTTACCATAGTCCATAGCAAACTCTGGTGCTACCAACCATAGTCCACAGCAAACTCTGGTGCTACTTAACATAATCCAGAGCAAACTCTGGTGCTACTTATCATAGTCTATAGCAAACTCTGGTGCTACTTAACATTATCCAAATCAAACTCTGGTGCTACTTACCAAAGACCATAACAAACTGCAGTGCTACTTACCAAAGTCCATTGCAAACTCTGGTGCTACTTTCTTTAGCCCTCAACAAAATGTGATACTCCATCTTCCAGGCCCTGGGTACAAGCTTATTATATATGTGCTGACAGGGTGACCCATGTTGGTGTGGCAGCAATTATGAACGTGATAATTGCGTGTGTGATACCAGCAGCAAGTTGACTCAAATAATTACCGGTATGCCGTCTCATAAGATGCTGGGATGACTGCACTGATCTCTTTAGAGACCTACGGTAAGTGACAACCGCCATGCACAACATTCATGGTAGCATAACTTACGATGCGACATTCTCCATATATACTTACTCGTATAACTACAGTACTACTACGTTAAGTATTGCCCCTCCCCCACTCAAGGGCGGATCCAAGGGGTATGGACCCTCCCTTTTTATCAGAAAATTCAAATACTTTTTTCTTTAATGCAGTAATGTACAAGCATTTTTGTATTGTAAAAAGTAATTACTTTTGACCTCAGAATATCTCCTAATAACAGTGCACAAGGCTTCAAAATGCCCATGTTATTGATCAGATTTAAAAAAAAATTCTGGGGGGCTTACAGCACCCCCCAAAACTCCCCAGCTAGGTGGATTCACTTTGCTTGCCATGCTCCCCCACCCAAAACATCTTTTGATATTCCTGGATCTGCCCCTGCCTCTTCTGTGGACACCTATGTCTGCTGTAGTGCTTCAGCTAGGTACAACCTTGCTTGATCTCCATTTGTTAAAACTTACCTTTTGCTATCCTGCTAGCTACAGTCTTGCCCAATATTCACTGTCTCCATGTCTCCATCATCTCCAGTCGTTGGAAACAAATTTGGTGATAATGATTCTGCTTCAGTGAACTGCAAAGGGAAGGGAGGAAGGATTGATGGTAGAGAACAAAATTTAATGAAGTTGGTGAAAAGTAAACAGAACAGGAAAGGAAGAGGAAGATGTACATGTACAGTAAAAGTCATCAATTTAAAAAAAACAATTATAAACACCCCTAAACTAATCAATCTGTTTAATACTTGCTCTCACTGATCACAATGTTAAGGAGTAAACAGAAGCTACTTTCTAATAAAAAAAAAAGTCATAAGCTCAAAGAAATGATATATTAGACAGAGAATAATTAGCATCTTCAATTACTCAAAGATTATTCTTATCATTTGCTCTCCATGATAATTATATTGAAATGGTACAGTAGTTACATTTACGAGCCATTCAGTAGCGAGGAGAATAAAGTACTGTATATAAATACAGTACTGTACAGTATTAAGTATAAAATGGCCATGTCATCTAATCAGTAATAATATAAGTTGTCATATTCAAAATTGTATGTATTGTATTACAGGTACTTGTAGTGAAGAGGTCTACACAGCTTTATTTTTAGCATTAGTCAGAGAGTTAACAAACCTTAAATGGATGTGTTCTGGCCAGCCTAATACAGTAGCATAACATATAGCCCAGTAACTTCTGCTATACAGTACTGTACAGTACCTCATTATGATATTTTTTAAGGACATGAGTCTGGATTATCCAATCACTTAGCAAAAAATCTCTATAAAAGAAAACTTATTTAACTCAACACAAAAGCAAATCAGGTGGAGGATTAGCACCTTAGGGTAAGAACACAAAGAAAGCAAGTTACCCGCTTGTGGGGCGGACCGGAGCTGACAAGTGTCATGAATGTGACCATGCTATCAAGTGCGACCACACACAGTAGAAGCACGTTGAAGTCTGTCGGCTTTGGTTGCCCGTGCTGACAAGTTTACTGGAATGAGTAAAACATTTTTTTCTCACTTGCCCAGACAGGTGGATGTGTTGTTGAGGCGGTGCTATATGCGAGGTGTTTTTATTAATATTTTGTCATGGTGGAAGTAGAGGTTTCGATCACCTGTGTGTTCGAAAGACCTGCAGTGCAGGACAAGAGAGAGAAAAAACCTACCTGTATTTGGGTCCCTTTATAGCTCACTAAAAAGGTGGTGATATTCACCGTAATTTTCTCTACTGTGATTGATTTCATGTATTCCAGTTCTTTTCCTCCTGATTTTTGCATAAGCACTATCGAGCAAAAGAAAATCTTCATCAGACGATGAGCTGGATATCATTACTGTTACAGCTGTGTCTGCCTAGCAGCGCTGACTGCCGGTGCAGGTCGGCGATGGAAACAGGCAAGCAGGTAACCTGCTTTCTTTGTGTTCTTACACTTACAAATTATTCAAGTTTTCCATAATTTTCACATAAATAATAACAATACACATCCATCCTACGGCAGGTTAGTTTTGTTGGTTTATTTCATCTAATACAGTAATTGTATTCTTGTTTAATGTAATACACAGTAACAATAATAATATTTGTTGTAAGGTTTCATGTGTATATAAAAAGACAATGAAGCCACTGCTGTGTTCGTGTACAAGTATCGCCAAACTAATAATATATTATTACAAAATATTACAAATCCTACTACGAGTACAGTACTATATTATTAATAAGTGTCCTTTTTGGGGATGTTAATTTTCTTCTCAATGCAAAAATAATAATTTATCTTCATCTATCAAAATTTTTAGAAAGCTGCTACTGTTGTTTTTAGTGAATACAAAAATAGTGAAATACTGTCGTGTTATTATTAATGGCTAAGAAATGTCTGGGTGATGCTGCTGCCTCCTTCTGGTTACATGAATAAAGATGGTGTCCTCCTCCTTGTGCGGGAGGTAAGAAATCTGTTTTATAATAATAATAGCTGGTCTTTTGTTTCTCAAAAGCACAGGTTCTTCTAAAGAATTCACTAGCACTCAAAACACTACAAAGTCGAGTACCTGACAATAAAAAGAAATACTAAAAGAAAAATCACAAATGTGACAGTTCGACTTGTATCAATCGTACAGTGATCCCTCGGTTAATGAGCGCCTCGGTTAACGATTTACCTTCCATAAGATTCTCAACTTCGGTTAACGAGCAATCCCTCGATTAACGAGTTTTTTACGAGCCGACTTCAACATGTTTTTGCTTACATTTGGCGGTTCACCAGCTGTAGTATTAGTCCGCCAATACAGTAATCGGTTTTAGGGCTTAAATTCCTTACTATTTTAGTAAATATCAAGAAGTTTGTACTATTCAATAATTTTAAAAGTTTAATATTAACTTTTTTAGTCATTTTAACAGTTATTGAACATAATTGAAGGTAAAGACACTAGTTTCTGGCGTCCCATCCAGCCTGTTAGCACACCAGACAGGAGTTAGTCTCTCTCTGTTTTCACTGGAGGTAACATCTTGCTTGAGACTCTCTTCAACTAAACGCTTTTTTTCTGTGTTTCCAAGCAAATTATTGGTCATATTGAAATTTATTTTACATATTGACAATATATAATGCAGTGCAGTGTTGATTTAAAGAAAATAATCTTGAATTACACCAAGAGAATTAAAATTTTATGGGTGAGATGGTGCCATGGGGTGACTTCTCTTCCACCCCAATGCCTTCTCTTCTCCCTTCTCCACCCCCATTCTAATTCCCATCATCATCATCATCATCATCCAGGAGCCTTCTAGATACACACCTCAAAGTAAGTGTACTTTTCTACCTTTTTTGTTGAATTTAGGCAATTTTCGGTGAGCTGGAACCAATTACCCAAAAACCCATTGAAACAATGGTTTTGGTTAACGAGCAACCTGCTGGAACGGATTGTGCTCGTTAACCGAGGGACCACTGTATATCCTTTAGTTGTAATACTTCCTAATCCTTGTAATTCTCCATCACTGTTGTTCTTAAGGGTCTCCACTGAAATCAGCTGCTTCACAATGCAGGCACCCAATTGTACAATCTGGGTGTTGTACAGTATAGTCTCGATTTACGTGGTCAATTAAACCCATGGAGGTCCGCGTAAAACGAGGAACGCGTAAACAAAATAACAGAACATATGGGATTAATTGAAATAGAGACTGGGCCGACCCCCAGACTACCCTTTTTCCGACACAATACGTACGTTGTAGTAAATATAACATCTTAATTTTATGATGGTATGCACACACAATTAATATTTAAGAGAAATATCAATAATATTAGGTTTTTTAACACTTACGTTAGTAGAAGAGATGGCTGGGTACACGGGGATGGGGGGTTGGTTCCGAGGCAGAGGGCAGATTATTGGCTCTCACCTGTATCACTATCCACCACAGAGGCTTGCAGGGCCTCTTTGTCAAACCCCTTAAAGTCCATATCCTCACTATCACTGACTTGGGCTGGCTGTGGTGGGTGGCAGGTGAAGAAATCGGTAATGTTTTGTTGGCCGGGCGACCTTGTGTGCACCGCTTCCCGCGTAAATGATGGAATGTACCACGTAACTAATAATTGCCGGTCTGGCCAGGTGCCGCGTAAATGACCAAACGCGTAAACGAAATCCGCGTAAATCGAGACTATACTGTATAGGAAAAGGATCAGGCAGCAATAGAACATTTCTGTACTGCTCTTGGCTCTTCAAGAAATGAGGGATCATCACTACTTCCTTCTAGATATTTTTTATTAGGTAGCTGGTTAACCCAGACCTTTGTCCTTAAATATTTTACTATTTTCTGCCCTATCTGAGTTATATCTTGTATTCTCAGGCCTCACTTCCATATAACCTTTTAAAGAGGGCAAGGAATCTGAATACAATCAATTCCATAGATAAAACATCTTAACTTGTATACCAGTTACCAAAACTGAATTTTAAACAACAGCATCCATTTTCTTCACACATACAGTACAGTCCTTCATCATCTCACAAATTTTGATCAGCTGCATTTCCTTTTAAAACAAAGTACAGTATGAAATGCTGACATCTAACACCAACATTAAATTCAGAACCTGGATAGTAAGGGTGTGTGCTACCTTCCTATTTCCACTCCTTGTCAGCAATTTATTTAATCATTTCTCTTCTTTCCAGTATCAGTTTCTTCATCCTCATGCTTGGTTTCCATGTCATACAATGCTGAAACTAATTCCTTCTTACTCTATCATGATCTCTCAGTCTGAATGATTTTTCCTGTAACATATACCTTATGGTTATACTGTATCCAAGGTTTACCAAGTGTAGACAAGACATTTGCAGTCATCCACCTGGTCACTTCCAACAGTTTTCTTGCCAGATCAAATATCTCACTGGTTTCTAAACAGTCTATCCTTATAATTTTTCAAGCAACTCCTTGTCTATGCCACACAAGCTGTTTTCATCACTATAACAACACCTGCCATTTTCATCCTGTATATCTTCTTAAAGTTAAACCCCCTATTTCATTTTGTAGCCAAACTTAAGAGCCACACAGATTTTTCTATCATTCTTCTTTCTCTTGTTTTACCACATCTGCTCTTCTATGGCATTCCCCTTCCTAAACAAAGCCCCAAGTCATTTCATACACACCTCTGTATCACACTCCAGGAATTTGCCAAACATACTAACAAAAGCTGATCACAAAAAGAAATTCTTAGAAATTCTTACTCAAATGCACTGTTCTTTCAAATCAACTTAAATTTAAATGCCCAGACTCTAATACATTTTAAATTTTGTTTAATTATCTTACTAAAGCTATATAGATAAACAGACAGATTGATAGGGAGACAGCCAGATATCTATTCAGTAAAATTGCCATACATGTTCACATCCGTTCAGCACATACAAAAGTAGTACCTGTATAAGTATACATGTACAAATACAGTTCAAGTACAGTATATAAACAAAGTACTGTACAGTATATAAACAATTCAGGTACACAAACAATGGTACGTTAATCTGACCACATATAAAAACAACTACGTACAAGCTTTCTCCAATGGCATTGTTTGACCCCAACTTGTTATTTGATGTTAAAAAAAATTCCAGAACACGATTGTGATAATGTGATATATGCTCCAGTATAAAGCATCAGCTGATGGCAGTAATACATACCAAAATTTGTGAAGCAGTATGTGGAACACTGTTCTGAAGACACCAGGAGGTCAGTAGTGAGCCAAGAGTGGCAGGTGGAGGGTGTTCCTTGCCCTCCACCCACACACCCAACAATCTTTGTGTACCTGCTGCATCTGCACTCAACTCGTACTCAGCCTCCATACCTGATATAATAATATGTATTGCTTAATCGACATGCAGTTTATGGAAGTAGCAATATTTCTGAGACAATTTAAGTGTAATAAAAAGCTGGTGTCAGCCACAAAACATCAGTGAGAGTGAACTTCCGGTTTCTCCCTCAAAAATTATACTGCAATGTAATTTCCTTCAGATACATTACCAATAGCAGAATTCACAAACATAATTACTGTATAGAGTTTATAATGCTCAGATGTCTCCTGTGACCAAAGTGATAAGAATAGAGCAATTATCATGCATAACAATTATCTCAGAGTCTAAGACCTGATACACTCATGCAAGCCTTTAATTTATATATAGAAACATTAAAGTGCCTTGGAGTTTGACTTGGCATCTGTTACATTCCACCTCTGGCACTCTCTGCCCTTCTGCACTCTGATTTCATTTGAATTCTGAAGTTAGCATACATCAATGTCTTGTTCATCAGAGATTTCTTTTTAACTTTGACAATTGCTGCTCGATTCAAGTGTTGTACAAACCTTATTTGATGTAATATTGTATATGCAGTAACTAGTATGTACCGGTAACTGTTCTTGTTGGAATGTACTGTACATGTAAGTACACAACACAATGTCAAAAATTATTACCAAGAGTGAGGATGTACCAGAGCTCCACCTGGTGTAAACGCAGACCATATAGATAGCAGTGATCACGAGAAAAGTACAAGGTACTGCCATTGTTGATTTGCAATTGTCCATGAAAAGAATGAAGATCTGTAATTCGTCCCTAGGAGAGAAAAAATAATAATTAAAATAAGTGACACAAACTCTACAAAACATAAAAAAGATTATCTATAAATTATTTTAAAAGGCATGAATTATGTTTTATACAGAGGGATCAGTGGAACAGTGGCAGCCAGTTCTTTGTAGCAAAAACTGAAGCAATACAGGAGCCACAGCTCAAGGTTGAAGAAGCCCCAAGTCCAGAAAACTGTGAGGGCAAACTTTTTGGAGTGAGAGTTGTGAACTCTTGGAACAATCTGCCAGAGGGTGTTGTGATGTCACCGAATGTGAGCTCTATCCAAGACTAGACTTTACAAACACTGGAGCAGGTTCAGATATATTCAGGAGCCAGTGCATGCCTAGTTCTTGCCAACAGTGCATAACAGAGATTGGACCGACTGCTCAAGCAGCTAACGAGCCAATCAGTGGCAAAGAGGATAAAAGTAGAACTTACAGATTTTCGAGATGAAATCAACATTGTTGAAAATGAAGTGGTTTGACCTTTGAAGTAAAAGAGGACTATTAATAAGAACAATTTCTTTAAACTCAACTCTGTTCAGTCAATAATGTAAGTTGAGCTAGAACTTCCCCATATGTGAAAGCAATACTCTCTATAGGAGTACCATAGTTGTTTGGAAAAAAAGATTTTAAAAAATCTGAACAAGATTCCACGTGTCTTGTGGGCAGATATAGCTATTTGCATTATATAAACACCTTTGAGGTTACAATGATATCAAGTATATTGTGTTTTGTGGTGAAATTTCAGAACTATATATAAGGAGATGGGAAAATTGTAAGTCTTAGAAAAATAAAGAGGAGGATACCGAGCCTAAGAAATGATGAATTTCACCTGGTTATGTCTGCCTCACTGGGTAATCCTTTCTATATCTGAATTCACAAATGAGGCAAGAATGAGTTTTAACAATATGATGGATTAGCAACAGGTAAAAAAAATGCAGCATAGTCATTAGTTGGAGGGAACTTGGTAGCTAGCCAAGGAATGGTTATTCATGAAAAGGAGGTGTAGTATAAACGAGAGAACAAACCCTATGGATCATCACCGCTACTGGAGACAGAATTACAGATGTGAAACATAAAGTGAGATATATAACTGGAAAAGAAAGAACAGGGTGAGGGAGGAAAATCTAATACTTTCAAAATACCATGAGCCATAAAATAAGATATCCTCTAACATTTTTAAATACTGTATAGTACCTTAAAACTAGTGACCAGAGTTTGGAGATACAAATAAGAATATCACCAGTGGAATTTTTCTTTGTAGAAACCAAACCAGTGATCAGATAGAAGACTATGAGAATGAAGATGTTTGAGGTCACAAGAGTGCACGAGACTCAAAGACAACAAGAAACACTAGAAAGTCAAAGCTCAATGACAATTTAGTAGCTAAAGTAAACAGAAGTCACTTTTCTTCAGGATAGATTGAATTGAATAAAAAAAATGTTGGAAATTTTTTTTGTTTTTAGACAAAGGGAAAAGAGAAGAGTAACCATATGACTTAATTGTGTACTGTATATAGAGAAATACTTAAAAGAAATAAGAATAAGGGAAAATATGAACCAAATATAAGTTTAACACGACAAAAAAGTACTGTATAATGATATTTACCTTGGCAGCAGATCTTGGCTGTCTGTCTTTTGTCACCTCGGTTCCAACATTTGTTGCTTCAACTGAAGTTTTGTTTTTATTACGCTTTCGATTCTTTCTCCTAGGTTGTTCCTCACATTCATTAGTGAGGCTGCTGTTGCTACTAGTCTGTGGCCTCGCTTGACTAGTGAGGCTGCTGTTGCTACTAGTCTGTGGCCTCGCTTGACTAGTGAGGCTGCTGGTGCTACTGGTCTGAGGCCTCACTTGACTAGTAAGGCTGGTGGTGCTACTGGTCTGTGGCCTCGCTTGACTAGTGAGGCTGCTGGTGCTACTGGTCTGAGGCCTCACTTGACTAGTAAGGCTGCTGGTGCTACTGGTCTGTGGCCTCACTTGACTAGTGAGGCTGCTGGTGCTACTGGTCTGTGGCCTCACTTGACTAGTAAGGCTGCTGGTGCTACTGGAGTGGCAGAGCCGAGTCTCCCCGACTTTTGAAGGTGAAGAACTTGAAATTGGCTTTTTTCCTTGCCATGCAAGAGTTACTACAAACTTGGGTTGTCCACTATTTGCTTTGTGTGAAGAATTTTGCTGAAACAAGCAGTGCCATATCTGACCTGAGGGTGATGACTCGACCTTTTTCTTGCTAACTGGTAATCCATCTTGGTACATGTTATCGAGACTTACCACTGCCGCTCCAGTACCTCCTTCTACATATTTGCTACGGACCTTAACTGTTCCAGTTCTCCGAGTGACATTGACAATTGTACAGCTGGCTTGATGGGTTAAATACTTGACAGGCATATTTTTTCGCATTTTTGACAAAAGAGATTTGTATTTATGATGCTCCAATGCATCAGACTGAAGATTCCAAGTTTTGACAATTTCACCTGCAGCAGTTGGTTTTTTGCCGAACCATGCCATTACTGAAATATATTTTACTGTGTGACCCCAGATCTCCATGGGATGCTTAGCTTCATAAATTAATGCTCCAAAAGCATCGAGCCTTTGTAGCACATCTTTCAAATTTGCCGAGTCATCAAGTTGCTCATTGTGTATGAAACAGTCTTCCCTGAAAACCAGTATCAATTTCTCTGTAGCTCTTAGGATGGCCATGCAAGCTTGAGCTTCAATCATGATACATGTCATATATTCTAAAGCCTTTTGAACAGAAACATTATTATTGTCACTACTGGTCTGTGGCCTCACTTGACTACTGAGGCTGCTGGTGCTACTGGTTAGTGGCCTCACTTGACTAGTATGGCTGCTGGTGCTACTAGTTTGTAGCCTCACTTGACTAGCGAGGCTACTGGTCTGTGGCCTCACTTGACTAGTGAGGCTGCTGGTGCTACTGGTCTGTGTCCACACTTGACTGCTGATATTGTTTATGCTTCTAGAGTGCAGGAGAGAAGTCTCCTCATCCTTTAAGGACGAAGAAGAATATGAATTTGGCTTCCCTCCTCTCCATGCCAAAGTTACAACATACCTGGATTTTCCATCTTTTGTTTTAAGCGAAGAATGGCCAAATAAGCAGTTCCATGCCAGACTTGAAGGATAGGTTTCAAGTTGTGTCTTGGTAACTGGTTGTCTATCCAGGTACATGTTAGAGAGACTTACTACTGCCTCTCCAGTACCTCCTTCTATATGTTTGCTACGGACCACAACTCTTCCAGTGCCTCTGCTAACACTGACAATGTTACATGAAGCCTCAAATATTTCATGCTTGACAGGTGTATTTTCTCCAGGTACTTTTGAATAGCTGAAGTCATATTCAGGTTGCCACATCTTAATTGGCTGAGGTTTCCAAGCTTCAACAATATCATCTGCAGTATCAGGTTTTTTGCCTGCCCAAGCTATGACAGCAATATGTCTAACCTTATGTCCCCAGACTTCTATGGGCTTTTGATTTTTATAAAATATTACCCCTAAACATTTAAACTTCTTTAGTTCTGTTGTCAAACTTATAGCTTTACCAACTTTCTCCTTGTTTATGAATAAGTCTCTCTTGAAAACCAATATAAAATTTCCCAAAGCCCTTACAATGATCATATCAGAATGAGTTTTAACAACTCCACATGTTAAGTAACCTAAATTAGGTTTAATGGTATTGGGACGAGTAAGGCTGCTGGTGCTACTGGTCTGTGGCCTCACTTGACTAGTGAGGCTGCTGGTGCTACTGGTCTGTGGCCTCACTTGACTAGTGAGGCTGCTGGTGCTACTGGTCTGTGGCCTCTCTTGACTAGTGAGGCTGCTGGTGCTACTGGTCTGTGGCCTCACTTGACTAGTAAGGCTGCTGGTGCTACTGGTCTGTGGCCTCACTTGACTAGTGAGGCTGGTGGTGCTATTGGTCTGTGGCCTCACTTGACTAGTGAGGCTGGTGGTGCTACTGGTCTGTGGCCTCACTTGACTAGTGAGGCTGGTGGTGCTATTGGTCTGTGGCCTCACTTGACTAGTAAGGTTGCTGGTGCTACTGGTCTGTGGCCTCACTTGACTAGTGAGGCTGGTGGTGCTACTGGTCTGTGGCCTCACTTGACTAGTAAGGCTGCTAGTGCTACTGGTCTGTGGCCTCACTTGACTAGTGAGGCTGGTGGTGCTACTGGTCTGTGGCCTCACTTGACTAGTAAGGCTGCTAGTGCTACTGGTCTGTGGCCTCACTTGACTAGTGAGGCTGGTGGTGCTACTGGTCTGTGGCCTCACTTGACTAGTAAGGCTGCTGGTGCTACTGGTCTGTGGCCTCACTTGACTAGTGAGGCTGGTGGTGCTACTGGTCTGTGGCCTCACTTGACTAGTGAGGCTGCTGGTGCTACTGGTCTGTGGCCTCACTTGACTAGTAAGACTGCTGGTGCTACTGGTCTGTGGCCTCACTTGACTAGTGAGGCTGCTGGTGCTACTGGTATGTGGCCTCACTTGACTAAAGAGGCTGCTGGTGCTACTGGTCTGTGGCCTCACTTGACTAGTAAGGCTGCTGGTGCTACTGGTCTGTGGCCTCACTTGACTAGTGAGGCTGCTGGTGCTACTGGTCTGTGGCCTCACTTGACTAGTGAGGCTGGTGGTGCTACTGGTCTGTGGCCTCACTTGACTAGTAAGGCTGCTGGTGCTACTGGTCTGTGGCCTCACTTGACTAGTAAGGCTGCTGGTGCTACTGGTCTGTGGCCTCACTTGACTAGTGAGGCTGGTGGTGCTACTGGTCTGTGGCCTGACTTGACTAGTAAGGCTGCTGGTGCTACTGGTCTGTGGCCTCACTTGACTAGTAAGGCTGCTGGTGCTACTGGTCTGTGGCCTCTCTTGACTAGTCAGGCTGCTGGTGCTTGTTTTTGGTTTTATTTTAGTACTGTCAAGCAAAAAATCATTTGTTTCTGTAAAATTGATCTCCGTGTTTTCTTTACCTTGTCTTTTTGAATTCCTTGGGTGTCCATTAATTTCCTCCCCTGCCACTTGTTCTTTAGCTTGTGCTTCTGTCTGAACACATGAACTCCCCACTGTACTTGAGGGTAAGGAAAGATTTAACATCACCACAGCCCATGAGATTATTCCATTCTTATTCTCTCGTTTTAATATATGTGCCTTTGAAATTTCTTTTGAGTTCAGAATTACTTTACACTTAATATTTGTGTATATTTGTTCTCTTGTACATAGCAGTAACATCTTGCTGTCATCAATTGTCACTGACAGTTTACAAATATCTTTTGATATGCTCAGAGTGGACACTATATCACAATACAGTGTAAACTTGCTATTTGCTTCTACATAAAAGCCATGTGATTTTTTAACGTAGCTCTTTCTTCGTTGAAAATTCATGGGCAATTTATTTATTGGAGGCCTCTGCCCAGTCCACAGACATGTGCACACATAACTCACACTGCCACCCATGTCACCATTTAATAACTTGAATACTGTAGCATACACAACATGCAAATCATTGTTACATAGTTGAGTCATCTCTGATTTCTCTCCATTCATAAATAAAACATCCTTACAAACTTCTGCATCAACTAAATCACCATCAAACCTCACCCTGATACTTCTTTTAACAGTGTCCACAAAATCTGTTTCACAAACAAAACCCCGACCATCGATAATCACGAACGTCTGGTCATCATCGGGTTCAACACATATGGTGGGTTTCTTGTCTTGCCAGATGACCACTGCTTGTAGACGCTCATTGCTGGGGGAGGTGATGGCATCAAAGTGAACTCGGGTACCATCTGGAACTTGTGACAGTGGAATGGGATTATCCCCTTTCCATAATACTCTGCAGAATGATGTTTGGTCACTAGATGTTTTTAAAACAATGAAGACTAGTACCAACACTCCCTCTAGCCGTGATAAAATGTAACGCTCTCCCAGCACGGTACATAACTGTCCACTGTAACAATACACACAGGTGGAATGGTAGCAACAGGGGTAAGGATTAGTGCATATGTTAGGATCCTCTACATCGGCATTAGCTGACTTTGGTGCAGTCTCAAGCAAACTGAGATCATTTACTTGGCCATTCATCAAGCCTGAGCCAGTCTCTAGTCTATTTTCCTTGATGTCAGTTTTTAAATCATAATTTTCTTGACCATTGTTTGTTACTGACTCATTCAAGGTTGTTTCTGGTGCCAGCTTTGTGAGCAATGATGATGGTTTTGTTGGTGTCAAATTTGGTCGTGGTGTTGGTGTTAGCTGTGAGGATGATGTTGGTGTTAGCTGTGAGGATGATGTTGGTGTTAGCTGTGAGGATGATGTTGGTGTTAGCTGTGAGGATGATGTTGGTGTTAGCTGTGAGGATGATGTTGGTGTTAGCTGTGAGGATGATGTTGGTGTTAGCTGTGAGGATGATGTTGGTGTTAGCTGTGAGGATGATGTTGGTGTTAGCTGTGAGGATGATGTTGGTGTTAGCTGTGTGGAGGATGTTAGCTGTGAGGATGATGTTGGTGTGATGTTGGTGTTAGCTGTGAGGATGATGTTGGTGTTAGCTGTGAGGATGATGTTGGTGTTAGCTGTGAGGATGATGTTGGTGTTAGCTGTGCTGTGAGGATGATGTTGGTGTTAGCTGTGAGGATGATGTTGGTGTTAGCTGTGAGGATGATGTTGGTGTTAGCTGTGAGGATGATGTTGGTGTTAGCTGTGAGGATGATGTTGGTGTTAGCTGTGAGGATGATGTTGGTGTTAGCTGTGAGGATGATGTTGGTCTGTAATGTGTGTTAGGAAGTTTTCTTATCAGGTGTGTGTCTGATGGTACTGCTACAAGCTGTGTGGCAGAGGGTGTTGTTATTGTGTCTGATATTTGTTGTGATGTGGGCTGTGTATATGAGGAAGTTGAGGGCAAACCTTCATTTGCATCATAGATTTGTGTAAAATAAAATTCAGAAGTACTTAAGAGGGTCCTGTGACCTATACTTCTAACATCAGATTCCTGGATATCTGTCCCCTTGACAATACTCTCCCCTAATGTTAGCAGCTTGTCAGATTCCTGTGATACCAACTGCTGGCCAGGGGGTGTGTGTGGCAGCTGGGCTCTCATGGCTGGGCCATGGGGGTCCTCAGTTTTCACTTTCTTCTTTTCTGAAGCCTTAGCACTGGGGGATTCAGTGGATCCACCATGGTTCACTAGGCCACGCAGCCACTTAATCATGGTTACTGATGGGTCTGGAAGAGAAGGTTATTATCAGATAAAAAGTATCTTGGAAGTACCTGTAAAGTCAGGAGGTTTAGTGAATATACAGTGAACCCTCACTTTATGCGGTCAATTGAACCCACGGCGGCCCGCGTAAAGTGAGAAACGCGTAAAGTGAACAACATAACATATGGGATTAATTGAAATAGAGACCGGGCCGACCCCCAAACTCCACTTTTTCAGACAATACCTACGTTGTAGTAAAAATAACTTCTTAATTTTATGATGGTATGCACACACAATTAATAATTAACAGAAATATCAATAATATTAGGTTTTTTAACACTTACATTAGTAGAAAAGATGGCTGGGCACACGGGGATGGGTGGTTGGTTCGGAGGCAGAGGGCAGATTATTGGCCCTCACCTGTATCACTTGTATCAATTGTATCACTATCCACCACAGAGGCTTGCAGGGCCTCTTTGTCAAACCCCTCAAAGTCCATATAAGTCCATATCCTTACTATCATTATCACTATCACTGACTTGGGCCGGCTGTGGTGGGTGGTGGGTGTAGAACTCGGTAATGTTTTGATGACTGGGCGACCTTGTGTGCACCCTGCTCGCGCCGCTCTCCGCGTAAAAGGGTACACACACCGCGGACAGTGAGCATTCCGTGTTCGGCAGGGTACCGCGTAAATGTGGAAACGCGTAAAGTGGGACCGCGTAAAGCAAGGGTTGACTGTAGTTCTGAAATTATTTATTCCATCATGGCAAATGAAAATACTGTACTGTACTGTACAGGTAGCTGAACCTTTGAATTGTATTTGAAGCAGTTCTGGAATTCTCCGCTATAATCTTAAAACACAGGGAGTGCTTTTTATTAATTAAGAAAAAAATCTCCCCAATCACAATGGTACTTGAAAGACTACTGATATACTTTCTGACAAAATAATGGCCAGTGCAGTAAAGTAACTGTAAACCAAAAATCTACTGTACAGTACTGTACTTTAAAAAACAATCTATTTGACAGAATAAAGTTCAGTATTGGAACATTTAAATGTGAAATTTGAGAATACTGTCCAGTACTGTATACTGTATAATTTTTTCTTCTTATTTTCTACATATTCTATTATATAAGAATAAATAAAAAATTATTCGACAATCAGGCAAATGGCTTAGTGACTGTGCATAAGCGGAGAGCTCATCATTAATGCAACAATTACTCGAGATTAATCGAATGAACCGACTAAACAAACGGATGCAGATGTACTGTCGTTTTGCATGTCTAAAAATACTGTCTACATCATAAAGTCTCATTACTTATTAAAAGATCCTCGTGCATATGAATGCCCTGCTCTCCTATACTGCTGCAATAACTCCAGTTTTGTTCTTAACCCACCATACCCCAAGCATAAACACAGTTCTTACTGGCAATTCAGTGGATTGGCCCCAATAACCAATCACATGTGTCATCTCAAGGTCTAGGCTGTTTTAAAGTCTTGTGAATGGTTACTATACCCTATGAGTGTTGTGAGCATACTTGGCACTCAATTTATGACGCAGTAAGAGGTTTGTTTCTCCAAAGACTACATTCACTTAACAGTGGAATCAATTGGATACAATATACCGTAATACTGTACAGTACAGTAATTTCATGGCTTATAAGATGCACTCATATTTCAGCTGGAACTATATAAGAAAAAACTTTTGAGTGTATTTCTCTCCTGTAGCCAATGTTTTCTTAAAATGAGGATACAAAATCAAATTCACAGCATTAGTACTGTAGCTACTCACTCAGCTGTTATTGTTATGATCATTACTCATTGTACAGTACTGTACTAATATGTCCATACTAAACACTCCCAAAACACGAAATGGCAACTGCCTACAAGTCTGCCGCACTGTGATATATGACGTTACACACTAGTGAGACACTATTAATGCGCAGTGATAGCTATCAAAATTATTCACCATTATCATCATACAGTAATTTTAAGTTTCTTTAAAAAATTAAGGATATTACCTTATAATAATAATAAAATCAATGTTGCAGGTATGACATTAATAGATAGTAACACTGTAAGAGTGCAAAAACAATTATTGTACTGCATAGCTTTGAAGAGTTGAGTCCTGTATGGATGCTACTTGTGTTGGGTTATCCATCATCAGTAGCTATAAATCTAGGTTTTATATTAATAATAAATCTTTTTTAATTAATTAAAAGTAATACCCGTAATTACATGTTCAAGTAAACAAGAATATATTTCTAATTCTGGAGTTGGGCTTGATAGAATATAGCCTAAATTACTTGAGACAGTAACTAGGGGATTTTTTTAGCCTATGGTAGATTGCAAATTCACATATAGGACACAGGGTGATTTTAGGGTTATTTTCCAGAAAAAAAAGTGCATCTTATATGCTGTAAAATACAGGACTTAACTGCAGGCTTTGACAAGTACTGTACCATAAACACTCGCACACACGGGCACTGGATATTACAAGATCCTGGGTATGTGCTACTCTGTCCTGATATTACAGGTAGGTACTGTACTTTCTACTGTATTTGACAAGTTTGATCGATTACTTTTCTCCAAAGAAAGAATGTGCTCGCAGCGAGAACTTGTAATGGGTGTAAAACATTGATGATGATGACGACACAGTGTTCAGGCGAATCTCATGACATATAACATTAGACTAAAGATTCTGATTAAATATTGTGATTATGATGTTCACTTGGATAACACAGTACTGTACTGTATTGTAATAATACCAGGGAATTTTTTTTATGCAGAAGCATGAACTCTCAAAGAAGCAAATGACTTTATTCAAAGAGGATAATAATGACACTACCAGAAGATGAGAAATAAAACAGTGAAAAAATTGGCAAAAAAAATTCCAATTTAATTAAAGGAACCTATTCTTTGGTCAAAAACTTGTGCAGTATGAATCAAAGAGAAGTGTCCAACTCATAGAGAAAAAAATCCAAAAACATAAAACCAAATCACTTTGAAGTGAAATATCATTTTTATAGTCAAATAAAAATAGAGTAAATTCTGTATAAGGTAAAAATTGCAACCATTCAAATGATGAAATTTACTCAAGAGTATCTTTGAGGTGTGACATATTGGTGATGACTGACAATGAAAGATAATAACACAGTAAAATTTCAGGTAAACTGTGGGGCAAGGACAAGTGTTAATGTTATTTGACAAATAAATATTGCATGTCAAGAATGAAGACTCAATACCTTGTAATACTATTTTAGACGTCTGGATATCATCTTTAATAAAACCAATAGGAAAATACAGAGTTGTTATCAGAAATTGCAAAAACTGTCAGTTGGTTGAAAATGTTCAAAGGAGGGCCCACCAGACTGGTGCCTGCACTTCGGCACCTCAGCTACCCAGAGAGATTGGAGCGCCTGAACTTGCCTCGCTTATACTACAGACGGGCAAGGGGTGACCTAATTGAGGTGTATAAGCATCTCAAAGGGCACTACTCAGTCGAGTGTCCTTACTTGGAGCTGGCAGACGCTCGCCCCACAAGGGGTCAAAGCTCAAGATTGAAGAAGCTGCAAGTCCAGAAAACTGTGAGGGCAAACTTTTTCGGAGTGAGAGTTGTGAACTCTTGGAACAATCTGCAAGAAAGTGTTGTGACGGTACCGAGTGTGAGCTATTTCAAGACCAGACTTGACCAACACTGGAGCAGGTTCAGATACATGCAGGAGCTGGTGCATGCCCAGTACTTGCCAACAGTGTGTAACAGAGACATGACCGATCACCCAAGCGGGTAATGAGCCGATCAGTGATGAAGAGGATAAAAGTAAAAAGGTAAAATGCAGAAGAATTAATATGTAAAATTTTAGTAGCCCAACAAAAATTAACTCCTTGGAAAGAGAACTTCGGAAAAAATAGGTCAGATTACAGCTAATTATGAAAATATCAGTACCCTGTACTGTACTGTAAATAATGGCCTGAGCTCTTTTAATTATATACCTGTACTGTATTCAGCAATGAAGTTAGAGCACTACTAACAACTGTTTACTGACAGTTGATGACAAAATAACCCGTTGCTAATTATTCATGCAGTGCCATTCACCAGTAGTACAGTACAGTACTGTTAAACATGTATCCCAGAAATTAACTGAAATGGAAAAATAAGAAAATTAAATCTGGGGTAGACCAACCTGTAGCTATGTGGTAACTGTTGTAAAAAATTAATAAATAAATAAATAATTCAGATAATTGGTAAATAGTGTGCTGTTAGGTATTGGATGATGGCATCCCACAGAGTTTTCTCATGAGTTTGCACATACCTGTACTATACAGTACTGTACTGTAAAGTAAATGTGATGTTTGGGTGAGACCCCTTGTTTTCAGCTGCAGTTTTTCTACCTACCTACAGAGTACAAGTACGGGTACTCCTCAACTTACGACCGGCCGGACATGCGACCGCCACAGTCGTATAAAATATTTTTCAAATTACGTATTTTCTAGTACCGAAACATTTCCGTCCTGTACGACAGCATGGGCTGGGCCACCTCGTGGTGTACAGCATCCACGCCGTAGTCCGCTCAGTTGGTGTTAGTGATCACACTGTGTACTGACAAAATTTTCGTTTCTAATTCCCTTTAAAATGGCTGGCAAGCATAAAAGTGAGAGTTCTCTTGGTGCTCAGAAGAAAAGGAGACAGTCAATTACTTTTGAGATGAAAATGAAAATACTAATGTAATATGAAAATGGAAAAACGGTAGCAACCATTTAAAGCCACCTTGGCTTCTCTCACTCGACGATATAAAAAATTTTGAAGGACAAGGCAGAGGCATTTGCTACTATTAATAAGGGGAAGCAAATATTTGGAGGAATGGATCAAAATGTTGAGGGTTTTGCAAAAGTTGACGGACTGATCCAAGATGCACTTGCTTGCTACAGGGAGATTTACAATAAAAAGAAAAGGCAAACTGTGCAGTCTAAATTGGACATATATTTTAAGAAGTCTGCCACTGCTGTCTCTTCA